TCCTCCTCCCCCTCCTCCTCCTCCTCCTCTTCTTATTCTTATTATTCTTATTCTTATTCTTATTCTTCTTTTTGCGGAACCTGGGAGGAAATCAATTCTTCTTATCCAGCATGGTAACACATGCTGAATTCCCACACTGCTGGAGGCTAAGGCAGGAAGAGTACCATGACTTCAAAGCCAACCTGGGTTGCACAGGATTCAAGGCCAGCCTGCACTCTATGACATCCTGTCTTAAAAAGAAAAAGAAAGAAAAGAAACAAGACAGTCCTATAATTTAAGACACCCAATCTGTGGTGTGTTGTTATGGCACCAGTGAGGGTGGGCCACACTGATGTTGTTCTTTAGTGAGGGCCCTCCACCTCGCTTATCCCCTTAGATAGCAGAGAAAGAGAAAGAGAGAAAGAGAGAGAGAGAGAGAGAGCCTAAACTCTCTGGTGTTGTTGTTTTTTTTTTAATTTATTTATTTATTTATTTAGTGTGTGGCCAGCTCAGCCCACCAGGGGGCGGGGCTGGCTGGCATGTGGTGCTGGGGATTGAACCGAGGTCCCTGTGCTTTTGTTTAGCTTAGCTTGTTCTAAACAGGTGCTTTAGACCACTGAGCCATCTCACCAGCCCCTCTCTGGTGTTTCTAAGGGCACTAATCCCATCACAAGGGCCCACCCTCACTATTTCATCTAACTCCAGTTCCCTCCCAACGGCTCCATCTCCAAATACCAAAACACTGAGAGTTAACAGATTTGGGGAAGAGTACAGTCCAGTCTGTAGCAGAAAGCGCCTGGGTTTCTGAATCTCAGTTCCTGGATGTGTCCCTGTGTGAGCAGGTGGAGGAGGGGAAGGCTTCCACAGGTCTGTGTGCTTGTGGTGTGAGAGTGCAGGAAGCCTTGAGCCTCCCAAGTTGCTAAGTAGGCTGCAAAGTCTCCTTGGCTGATGGCACAAGGCTGTTCTTTGTTGATGCCTTAAAGAGGCAGGGCTCACAGCAGAGGCCCGAGGCTACTGAGTTGGGGGTGGGGCAGGACCACCATCTCTCTCACAGGAAGATGAGTTAGTTCAGTGCAGGCCCTGGCTAAGGTAAGGGGATGGCTGATTCAGGGGGCAGTCAGAGGGGTCCAAGAGAAAGGCAGGTAGTACATCTAGGAAAACTGGAAGGGTAGACATGAACTCAGAGGCTGAAGGAGGCAGACAGGCAGAGGTGCCAGGCTGTCGTTGGGAAGATGAGCCTCAGGACTGTCAGGTCTGTGTCTGTCTTCTCCAATCCCCAGGCCAGCTGAGAAGCCACCCTAACCATTTCCTTCCTCTGTGGCTTCCCAGTCAGTGCAGGGGTACCAGACACACTGGGGTAAGACTGCTCCTCTCTGACTCTGTTCTCTCTAACAACTGTGGGTCTTAGCCTGACTCCCTTTCCACCCTGATATGAGCATGCAAAGGACACTGGGCTCTTTCTGTGGTAGTGAGATTGGAGATCTCAACAGGAAGTCCGTGACTCTAGGAAGAGAGGAAGGATGGGTGGTTTGGGGAAGAGGGGGATAAGAGGAGGGGAAGGGGCTGCAATAGGAAGCGGGTGCTCTGACAAGGAACAAAGACCAGAGTTCAAGGCCAGCTGTAGAAGGGGTGGGGTGGGGGGACCAGAGGGGCTCTGGGAGTTGACAGAGAGAGGGCGGGGAAATAGGTGACTTGGGAAGGGGAAGGACCAGGCTTGAAGGGTGGTCCTGGGAGAGGGCAGGGGTCAAGCGCACGGGAGTCCCAACACACCTCTCCTTGCGGCCCAGAACTTCACCGCCTCTGGGGAGGCGGAGGAGAGGCGCTGTGCGAGGCGCGAGGAGCTGCTGGCGCGGGGCTGTCCGGCGGAGGAGCTGGAGGAGCCCCGCGGCCGGCAGGAGGTGCTGCGGGACGAGCCGCTCAGCCACCACGCTCGCGGCGAGGAGGCCACGCAGCTGGCGCCACAGAGGGTCCGGATCACGCTGCGACCAGGTAAGTCCGGGGTAGGGCGCCGGCGCCGGGGGGGAGGGGGGAGGGCGGCGGGGGCGGGGCGGTCCTGGGCTAGGATCCTAGTGCGTTTGGTGACTCGCGTGTGCCCGCCCAGGGGATCCCCAGCAGCTGCACGTCCGTTTCCTCCGTGCCGCGGGATACCCCGTGGACTTGTACTACCTTATGGACCTGAGCTACTCCATGAAGGACGACCTGGAACGCGTGCGCCAGCTGGGGCACGCCCTGCTAGTCAAGCTCCAGGAAGTCACCCACTCCGTGCGAATAGGTGAGCGCGGGCCGCGCTCCCCAACCCTTGCCTCTGCTGCTGCCTTCCACCTGCCTTACCCCTGCCCAAGTCTTGGACTCAAGACCCTACCCCCTTGCCCTCTCCCAGCGTTTAACAGACCTGCCAGGCCACGGGATTCTGACTTCTCTCCCCGGAAACACCATCTTCTAGGTCATGGCTGGAGGGGGTGCAGACTGTTCTGTAGAACCCTTCACTTTACAGGAAACACAGAGACTGGAGCAACGGTGTTCACACAGCTGCACTGGACCTAACAAACTGGACAGGGCCCTGATGCCACTGTCTCAGCCCAGGGTCTCCTGAACAAGGCCTCCCTGCCACTCTTCCTGCTCTCAGTTCTTTTTTGACCTTTCCTGTACTCTAGAGCCTCTCCTTTGCCTCCTGCTGCTTCTGTATCCTGCATCCTGGTTTTCCTCAGCCTTTAGGAAGCCCCCATCTGTCCTGTCCTTTTCTTAATCCCTCTTCCCCCACAGCCAACTCGGGAGTCTCACTCTTTGCTGGGCCCTGGGTCCCTGGTTCCTAGGAGCACTGCCCATCCCTTCTCTAGGACCAGCCTTTCCCTTCCCATGGACTCTGCCCTCTGAGTCTCCAATGAGCCCTGGCACAGCCTTTCTGTCTACCCCCCAGGTTTTGGCTCCTTTGTGGATAAAACAGTGCTGCCCTTTGTGAGCACAGTGCCCTCCAAGCTGCGCCACCCCTGCCCCAGCCGACTGGAGCCCTGCCAGTCACCCTTCAGCTTTCACCATGTGCTGTCCCTTACGGGGGACGCACAGGCTTTTGAGCGGGAGGTGGGGCGCCAGAATGTGTCTGGGAACCTGGACTCACCTGAAGGCGGCTTTGATGCCATTCTGCAGGCTGCCCTCTGCCAGGTGAGGTGGGGCTGGGAGAACAGTCCGAGTGACTGGCTCAGCCAGGCTTGCCCTGAGGGTTATGTACTGCCCAATTTCTGGGGGTGCACTGTAGTTTGCATATTTATTTTAATGATTACCTGGTGGTGGATTGGCGTGAAATATAGTACCTTGAGGAAGACACCTTTTCTACTTCACTCTTTCACTAGTAGCCCTGTTTTAGCAGTTGGGCAGGGCAGCAGCAGCTGAGAGCTGGAGGCAGGGGGACCTGATGGACAGCTGAGACTGTGGCTCATTGGACTGGCTGAGGCGGCTCCACAGTGCAATGTCCCCTACCACAGGAGCAGATTGGCTGGAGAAACGTGTCCCGGCTGCTGGTGTTCACTTCAGATGACACATTCCACACAGCTGGAGATGGGAAGTTGGGTGGCATTTTCATGCCCAGTGATGGTAACTGCCATTTGGACAGCAATGGCCTCTATAGTCGCAGCTCAGAGTTTGTGAGTGCCTCCTCACTTCAGCCCTCTTTATCTGAGCCCCTTTGGCCCCCTTTCCCCACCCCCTGGCCTCACACTCCTCATTGGTGACCATCCTATAGATATCCTGCCATCTCTCGTGTCCCTAGATGCGGGGGTGGGAAACCTGGGTCTCACACTTCTTACCTCCTTCTTTTCCTTTACTAAAGCTCCAGGACTCCTCCAGCTGGTAGCAATCCTGGGTCTTGGGTTTTCTGGGCTGAGGGCTCTGGCACATTGTGGGGAGTCCTGTGGTGCTCACCTTGTCCCCACTCCTTGCCTCAGGACTACCCCTCTGTGGGCCAGGTAGCCCAGGTGCTCTCTGCAGCAAACATCCAGCCCATCTTTGCTGTCACCAGTGCCACACTACCCATCTACCAGGTGAGAGCTGAGTGCAGACTTTCCCTGCCCTGCCTTCCTCAGTTCCTGCAAACCAGTCTCCAGACTGCTATGTACCTCCTTTGTGGGACCTAGCAGCCCAGATTCTTACAACTGTATGTCACTGTTCCCTCAATTCCTAACTCAGGAGCTAAGCCAGCTGATTCCCAAGTCTGCAGTGGGGGAGCTGAGTGAGGACTCCAGCAATGTGGTGCAGCTCATCATGGATGCTTACAATGTGAGAGCTGGCCTGGGGGGACGGTGAGAGGAGGCACAGGGGTGAGTGAGGTGGGAAGGGCTCTTTAGCTGGGTGGCAGAACCAAGGGCAGAGCTATTTTTTGATTCTACTATTCCACAGCTGCCCTTACAGCCTGCATGGGTAGCTCATTCTCACATTTGGAAATTTTGTGTGTGTGTGTGTATATGTATGTATACAAAATTTCACACACACACACAAAAAAA